CATGGTTCTATTTATTAAACAGAACCCAAACGACAGCCTTTGGGAACCTCGGAGTAAAAGTGAGTCATGGCTTTGGTGACTCAGTGGGAAAGAGGGAATTCCACCACCCACGCCTCCTCTTGAAAAAAAATCAATTTGCCCTCTCGACAGGTGACGGGAGTCTCTGCCATCAGATCGGGCCAAGAAAACTATCCAAAAAAACAAGAGGCCTCTTCAAACAATTTCAGTTTGAAAGCTGAGTAATTCCATGTGGGCCGGTGTCCAGCCTACGCCCCCGCGGGACACAGAGAGCTGGGGAGCGGCTTGGCCAGGGCCAGGGGCCTGAGTTAAGAAGGATTTACCAGCTGAGGAATTCCAAAACCCTGTGTCACATGGAGGAACCTTCCAAAACACTGGATCGCAACCAGGCGCAAGAGTCTCTCAGAGCCATGGCAACCCCGGCTCCTCAACCGCATCACTTGTGTTTTTGTGTCCTTGGATTTTTTTCCTGTTTTGCAATGTTTTGCTGGGACCCCCCAACTCTACCCAAGGCCAGGGGCCAGGGTTCCCAGTGAGGGCAGGAACAGCCTAACCTCCCAGCCTGACCTTGCCTGGAAGACTATGTACCTCTTACTCTGCAGAGAATACAGTAAAGGTTCCCAGCAGCCAAGCGAGATCAACAGAACCACTCTAGTGCTGGCCATCCTTGGCATGACCTGAGAAACTACCCTAGAGCTGAGGCAAATGCTACTTTGGGGATTCCAGATCTTTCCCCAGAGAGGGGCTGGCCCAGAGACTCCAGGTCAGTATCTCTGAGACTCTGTCAATGTGTCTGTAAAATGGGGGGAGGGACAATAGGGGATGCTACTTCCATTCTGCGCAAAGACTGTTCTAGAAGTTGAGGGCAAAGCAGCAAGCACTGAGTCCCTGCTCTTAAAAAAACTAAGAGCCATTATATAGGGGACTACTGAACCCCCAGGACAGCAGAAAGACAGGTGAAATTCTGGGGGTCATATGGATAACTGAGTGTGGTGATGGGTCAGGCTGATACCACTTGGGAGGACAGGGATTACAAGCAAGTGACCTCTGAGCAAAAATGTGGGTAAGAGGAAGCATAGGACAGGAGGGAGTGTTGGAAGGATGATGGGAAGCCAGTATCACATGCCAAGGTCCTGAGGCAGAAAGGAGCTGGGGGTATCTGAAGACAGAAGGAAGAGGGTTTCTCTGTAGCCAGGCAAGCCAGGGGGAGAGATGATCAGTTGAGATCAGAGAGACAGGCAAGGGTAGAGTCTCACAGGTCCCTGCAAGTCATGAAAAAGAATTAAAAATAGGACTGAAAAAAAAATCACAAAATCACCATCATCATTGCTGCTATAAATAAGACGGCACTTTCCAAAACATGGGGCTTTTCTGACTTAGGTGGCTCCTCAGCCCCTCTCCTCCTGTTTTTCCACCTCCTCAGCTGGTCCTCTCACTGCAGTAGAAAGTGCCAAGCCTGTTTCAGTGGATGGCTATAAAAAGAACTCTGAGGCTCCCGGTACAGATGACCAAACTCTAAGGCTAAGATTAGCCTGAAACTGTCACCTCTCCCAATGAGAAGGACAGCTGGGATCCCCCTGCCTTGGAAACTCCACCACCTGCCTGCAGCGCCTGCTTGCCAAGTGTCCATGGAGATGGACAGAGGACTGGTTTTGGAAAAATCAAGTTGAGCAACCGGGATCCCCCTGCAAGGTCTGGCCCAGAGTGAGGTCAAAACCCTGAGGGTCAAAAGAGCAGGCCCTGTGCCTTACAAATGTCAGGGGCCTCCTATCAGAGCCAAGGGGAGCCCACTTCTTGGGCGCTTCAGGGGGCCTCAGATGCTCCTGCTGGTCCCCTGGGATTCAGTAATCTGGTGTGAAATGTTCTTCCCTATGAAACAAATCTCCTCCTACCAACAACCACAGCAGAAGTCAAGGGTCTCCAATACCACAAACTGGTTCAAGTCCATGCCTAAGGAAAATGAAGGATCTTGGAGCAGATCAGTCCAGATCTGAGTTTTTTCAGAGCAGAACAGCTCATGGCCCAGAGTGCAAACCATAGAACCAGGCAGCCTGGACTAAAATCTCACCGCCATCATTTACCAGCTGTGTGATCTTCACTAAGTCACTTAACCTCTCTGTGTCTGAGTCTGAGCAGTCGAATTGGAGAACAGTAGCTCCATGGTGGTGGAGGACAATCATGAGGACTCAGGCAGGTGGCAAAGATCTTCGAACAGAGGTTGGCCCAGGCTTGTTACCATTGCTTATTATTTTTTTTAATGTCTTGGTTTCCCTGGGGTAAACTTCCTGTCTTTGTTTTTCTATAAACAAGTGTGATGGTAAGAGAACTTACTTTAAGTTATTAGACACTTTCAATGTTCCCACCATTCATGATTCTCTGTTTTAGATGCAAATGTGACCATGATAGACTGTCCTGAACTGCGAGCCAGAAAAAGCCCTTCCTTCCTCGAGTTGCTTTGGCCAACGTATTTGATCACAGCAATGAGACAGGTAACTGATACATATGCCTCAACCAAGCAGAGCCCTGTCTCTACCTGGGTTGCTCAGGCTTGACAAAAAGCCAGTGCGTTAATAAAGCACTGTGAGGCCCTACAAAGGGAAATACCCATCTGCTCACTGTCTGGTTCTGAGAGAATATTAATGTCAGCATAAACAGCATAAAAGCAGGATTCAAAATACATACACACCTGGCACAGTGGTACATGCCTTTAATTCCAGCACTTGGCAGGCAGAAGCAGGTGGATCTCTGTGAGAGTAAGGCCAGCCTGGTCTACATAGCAAGTTCCTTTGTGAGCTGGAGCTACAGGGAGACCCTGTCTCAAACATACACACACACACACACACACACACACACACACACACACACACACACACACACACATTCTGTGTAAGCAGAGACTACACAACCTTGTGAGTTTGAGGCCAGCCTGGTCTACATAGTGAGTTCCAGGACATGTGGAGCTACAGAGAGACCCTCTCTCACACACACACACACACACACACACACACACACACACACACACACACACACACACACACATTCTGTGTAAGCAGAGACTACACAACCAGCAGAGTCCTGTGGGCTGTAGGTCAGCCCTTGATGCAGAGCTTGGAGACACCAGCCTCCTACCCCTCCCTGCTCTACACAATACTCCAGTGCACAGCACAAGTGTGTGACAGCAAAGGGTTGCCTGGTCTGGTGAGAGGCACTGTCATTGTGCTCAGATGACCCTGTCCCAGCGTTTCCCTAACCCTGTCTTTCCTCGCCTGCCTTTCCTGATGACCTCTGAGCCACAGACTGCTGTTTCCTCACCAGGAGCAAGTCTGCCTGTGGGATGAAATATCTGCAGACATTTCAGTGGACAGGGCTTGGGCAGAACTCGGGGTACCCAGCAGGAGAAGCAGGGATGTTGGGTACACCTTCCACTCACAAGACACCCCGCCATACTTATCCAGTCCTAGTAACAATGATGTCCAGGAAAGGATGTGAACCCGGGCTCTTCCTGCCTAGGGACAAACTATGTCAGTCTCACCTCTGTCAGTTTCACCCCAGTATGTCTTCCGTCACCACGTCTACCTGGACAGGTGTACCTCAGATCCCCAGAGCCCCACACCAGTCACCCTCAGCACTGTGGAAGAGGCTTCAGGCTTCCCACCAAATTTGCTCAGTGTCCCCTCCTGCTGTGGTGACAGCAACAGGCCTCCCAGTTTCTGCTTACTGTTCTCCTCACCCACTAGAGACCATCCTGGGAGTCAGTCAATCACCACATTGAAACCAAGACCTCAGAGCTGTCCCCAGGCAGGATCTGCCTGCTCCTTATAGAACCCGGGATCAGCCACTCCTAGACCCTGATGAGACCCTGGTTTGTTTAAGAAGGCAGACAAACCATCAGACCCAACACCTGCATTTCCAGAAAGGGATCCACACCCCAGTCCAGCCTCATCTCTACCCACGCTTCCTGTGCTGTGAGACAAATCTCCCAATAACCTGGACACTCTAGCTCCTGCCTGGCAGCTCCAGAATGCGGCAGGAGCACCCGCTCTCACTGAACACTTCCAGTGCATGATAATACATGAGACTGTTACATTGCATGTAAGTGAACTGTCACTGCCTACCAATCCTACAAAGCTTTTTCAATTTACAACAAAGACATCTGTAGGATGGGGTGAACCTATTTGTATCATGGTAAAGATTTCAATTTGAAAATTTCTCAACAGAATTACCCAGGGTTCCACTGCAGGAACCACTCCTGAATATACAGAAAGACATACAGAGAGATTGTGCATAAGAAGATTAGCCCTAAAATCTCTAGAAGCTTCATCAGAGCACTGCTCACAATATATTAAAGCACAAGCAGCCCATGTTTCCTATGTTTTGACATACCCAGTGATGTCATAATTACAAATGTGAAATCAAGACACAGAAAAACTAGGTCATTTGCCCAAGATCACAGAACAGATAAATAGTACAGCCAGGATTTGAACCTAGGACAATGAGGACTGATGTATACAGTTTCTCTTCTAAATAATAGGAAAAAGTAAGCCAGGCACAATGGCGCACGCCTTTAATCCGAGCACTCAGGAGGCAAAAGCAGGCAGATCTCTCTGAGTTCAAGGCCAGCCTGGTCTATATAGTGAGTTCCAGGCCAGCGAGGGATACTGGGAGACCCTGTCTCAAAAAGACCAAAATATGATGATGATGATGATGATGATGATGATGATGATGACAGGAAAAAGTATCTTTTTAAAGTTTGATTCTCTATGTGGGGGAAAAACTATGGAAACAAAACAGAGTTGATGAAAGGTGATACGTTTAGTCTCTGTCAAAATATCCAAGGACCAGTTAAAGCATGCCAGGCACATTGTATGATGATGACCTGTGTAGGGATAAGCCAGGTGTAACGTTCCAGTGGAGGGAAAGAGACATTCGAATCTGTGTGGCTCTGAGGATGAGCAGAGAGCCGAAAAAGCCACTTGACTGACCTGTGGTCTTCTCTGTGAACACGACCTTGGACTCAGCTGTAAAGTTCTGGCCGGTGAGGATCATCTGCTGGCCCCCGTAGACCAGGCAGCTATCCACGTCCTGTCTCTCCACCATGGGCAGCTCGTGGGCGGAGCGCTGGGCTGAGGGCGAGGGGGAAAGAAGATGCTGTGAGCAAGAGAAAACTTCCAGAGACCAGCAGAGCGGGTGGGAACCAGTTCTATCAGCTGTCAACTGCTGTCACTGCAGATGTGGAGCTATAGCCTGACAACCCAGGCTCTGCGAATATCACATCCCAAGTGATTTCAGCCAATTTGGTCTAACAACTACTCTGTCTGTATGAGCCTGGGCAGGTGGCTGCTCTTCCTTCCAGGAGGGCCAGGGAGCAGGATGGGTAAGGTCTTCATCTCCTCAAAGTCCCTTCTGCTCTGGTCACTCCCTCCTATTCTTCACGGTCCCACCACTAGACTTGAAGGACTCCAACACATTCCACTGAAAGTCATGGGTGATTCTTACCACTCTAGGGTCTTCCCCCATGGTGTCAGTTTCTAGAAGTTCCCTTCCATCACCATACTCCTACCACACAACTTCTAGAACATTCCATCAGTCTGTTTTTCTCAGACAGACAGACAGTGTGTGTGTGTGTGTGTGTGTGTGTGTGTGTGCACGCACTGCAGTGTTGAGGGTGGAAACCAGGTCCTCAGGCACTCTAAGAGAACACTGTGTCCATGTCCTGGCCCTCTTGTCTCTTAGGCTCACTCCCCACTTTGAACATCTGTGCTCTCCTGGGTTCTTATCCCCTCTTTTTGAGGTTCCTTCCTCATCACCCAGGTCCTATTCAGCCTGGGCTGCTCAGGGAGGTTCCCTGGGGCCCCACTTCCACAGCAAGTCTTCTTGTCCCCCATCTTTTCCCCTGCTCCCTCCTGACCCCCTCTTCTCTAGGGATGCCCAGTGTCAGCTGTCCCTGGGATACCCCTCTCCCATCTCCCTCCTGTGGTGTGTCAGCCCCAGGAGAGATGAACTGGGAAGGAAGTGCTGGGGGTGGCTAGGGGTGGTTGAGGACAGAACAGTCTCTCCATGTCTCTGTTCATCTCCAGCCACAATGAAAGAAAACTAAAGGGCCAGGGCTGAGCTCTGCACCTGCACGATACGCTCAAGTGCTCCTGGAGTCTTCCAAGGATGCAAACAGCAGAGCCTTCACATTCACCTAGGGGCAGGTCTTCACCAGGCCGAGCTGGTCTATAGCTAAGCTGAGATAGGAACCCTCCCAAGCAAACCCTGCCCCCAGAGCCACCCATTAGCCTCCCAGGAAAGCAGAATGCTGTGGGGGATGATGGGAGAAAAGATAGAAACAGGTATGGTCATCAGCCAGGTGAGAAAGTATCCCAGCTGCAGAAGGCCCTGCTCTCCCAGCTCAAGCCCCGCCCTCCCACCACACCCCTGCCTTCCCAGCCTTCCCCCTGGTGAGTCAGCCTGAGCTCCTGGCTCTCCTCCCAGAGCTGAGAGCTGGGCAGAAGGCCAGTCCTCTCCATGCCAGGGCCCCCAGACCTCCCCATCCGGAGCCGAGCAGCAACTGAGTGAGGCCCAAGACCCAAACTTAACCCTTTCCTTCTGGACTCGGACCTGGAGCATCTCTTTCCCTCTGTCCCCAGGCCTGGGTGTATGTGTGTGTGTGGGGGGGGTCACATTGACCAGCAGATGCACCAGGAGACTTTGCAGGCTTCTACCTCCCTCCTAGTGACTGGTCCAGCCCTGTAGTTCCAGTGCCTGGCTCTCTGCCCTCAGCCCCTCGCCTGTAGGCTCCAGGATGCATTGAGGCCAGGGGCAAAACTGCTAATTCCTCCCACATGGGCGTGTTATGAATCCTGTCTTTCAGAGTCAGCCCCTCTGTGACTTCCTAACTGAGCTACTGCTAATGCGGATTTACTAGCAGTGAACACTGCAGCCTCAGGGCCGCCATCGCAGACCTGCCTTTGATGGAATTGGGGGCTGCTGAGGGCAGCTGGCACTGGGGACTGATGAGGAGGTGGCAGGAGCCACCCCTCCCATTTTACAGGTGGAAAACCTGAGTCACTGCTACTGGAGGAGCTGGCCAAGGACTCTAGCCAATCAGGCCCAAGCTCTCCAAGGGGTGGGAGGCTGCAGTGATTCAGCCAGACCTGCACAAACACACCGTTCTACAGCCTCCTCTCCCTGCACAGCTCCAGGTCTCCTGCAGCCATCAGAACCACCTGGGCCACCTCCTTCCCTAAGGGGAAAGTAGCTTCAGCAAAAACATAAAGACAGCAAGTCCAGCCAGCTTCTCACGGGGGTCTGAGTCACACCACAAGCTGTGGCCCAGGCATCTGAATGGGGCCTCGTGGGAAATCTGAGTGTCTGGACCGCCCTACATCCTCTGCACCCACATATGCAGGCTGACAGGGATACTACACAGAGACCAGCGCAATGCCCCACTGAACTGTTATAACACAAGTTCTCAGTCTTGGTATCACCCTCCTCAGAGCAGGACCCTTCTTTACTGTGGGGCCATGCGGTACGCTATATTCAAGAGCACCCTGTGCCCCTGGTATCTCCCCACTGGGTGCCAGGAGTGTCCCAATCCCCCAGCTGTAATAACCAAAAACGTCTGCAGACATGGCTGGAGAAAGAGGGTCACAAAGGCACCCCTGGCTGGCCTTTAGTTCCAGCATTCAGGAGGCAGAGAGCCGCTGTGACTTTATGGGTACGTTCATGCATGTCCATATTGTAAACAGTAGACATGCTCATAACATAGCTGGTAAAATCTAACATCAACTCAAATATCCATGGATGGATGTATGAGTCAACCCAAGGTATGGCCATTCAAAATACTATTCAACCAGAAAAAGGAACAAGGTACCAATACCTTGAAAATGTTACACTAAGCAAAAGGAAGCAGGCATGAAAGGATAAATTTAGTATGATCCAAAACATTCAGTCCATGCCCAGCAACCCTCAAGAGGCCGCAGTGCAGACTATTGTTCACTACTTGGTGTGGAAAGTTCCTTTAGGGTAGTGGACAATTTTCGTTTAGTGCAGGCTCAGCATGCAGCACAACGTTCAACACTGGAGCTCGGCTCGGGTTCGGCCTGCAGCCTCCTGAAAGACACCAGTGTGACATGCACAGATGGCCTCTGGTGCCTCTTCCAGGCTCCTCAGCCTTAAGGCAGGTTTTGTGACCCTGACTGCTCCTCAAAGAGGGGGCTCCCAGAATTCTTCAGTAGCATCAGATTGGGCAGGTGCTTAATAAAAACCCAGAAGCCAGGCTACTCCCCGAGGCCCCTGACCACAGCTCTTAAAGTTCAGACGTATGCACTTTAACCGTCCTTCCAGACAACGTATCACACACATTTGTGTCAGGGCTGAGTTCCACATGAGAGAGGCCACATGAGGACAGGAGAACTCCTCCTGGGCAGGATTCCAGTCCTTGGAGAGCCCCTCAGCAAAGCAAATCGGTCCAATTAGCCTCTGAAAGAGGAACCAAGGAGAGGAGAAAGCAGCCAGAGCTGCCCTCCTGGGACGAGAGGCTTGATCTGATGCAACTTGCACCAGCTACTGCTAATTGGAGCAGCATGTAGAACCTAAGAGGGTTCTCAGGAAGCGCCTGGGCCTTCTGGGCTTCCCCCAACTGCTCCCATCAGCCCCTGTGGCTCCCATTCAGTTGTTCAACATGCACTGTGAGACGCCAGGCCATCTAAATCCCACTTGGGTTTAAAGCCATCCTTGCAGGCCTGGCTCTATCCTGGAGACAATCTAGGCCCAGGTTCCTACTTAAGTTTCCAGGCGGCCCCAGGCCTCGCTGCTGCTCCCTCCCAGACTCTCTAGCACCTCATAGAGTCCTGGGGTCCTGTAGTTTTATGAGCTCTGAATCCACAGGGCACTGTTAGTTTGCTTCCCCTAGCTTCAACCAGAGAACCCAGAAGAGCTCTCTAGGGAAAACTGACAGGTCCATCTGCCCCACCACAGGAGTAGGCAGCCAAGAACCGAGCTGTGCCTGGGGGCCTCTGGAGGAAGGCAGGAGAAGCTGGCTGGGGAAGGAGTCTCTGCAGAGCCAGGGTTCTGTCAGCATTGAGGCAGTTACTTCCACTGAAGATTTTGGCATGCTGGAAATCCTGTCTTTTAAAAAAATATATTTTATTTACTATTTTTATTTTCTGTGAATGAGTATGCTGCCTGCATGTGTGTAAGTACACCTGTGTTGTGCAGTGCCCACAGAGATCAGAAGAGGGCATCGGATCCCCTGGAACTGGAGTTACAGAAGGTTGTTAGCCATCACGTGGGTGCTGGGAATCGAACCTGGGTCCTCTGTAAGAGCAGCCAGTGCTCTTAACTGCTGAGTCATCTCTCCAACCCCAAATCCTGTTCCCTTTATATTGATGCACATAGCACTAAGTGATGAGGAGTCCCTGTCAATGTAAGATGCTGCATCATGACTGTATCGTTCTAAGCCCTGCTTGATGGCATCCTATGGCACTAGGGCCTTGGCAAATCACTCCGTCTCTGTGGGCCTTTCTTGTCTATAAAAGGGGAATAACCAGTTTCACTGGGTTGGCTCTAGACTAAAACAGTCTGAAGCCAGGGAGGTGTGTAGCTCCAGTTTGACACGTTAGCTGTATTTATCTTTATTGCTAAACATCACAAGACCCCAGAATGGGAATTATACATATTGGATGTTGAGGATTCACAGACAAGTAAAGTTGAAAGGAATTTGAAAGGGTGTAGTTGACAGGGATTTGAACCCAGACAGAAGGTTCTAGAAGCCCAAACCACTGATGAGAAGAGACCCTGTGGGATGTTGTCCCCCAGCACAGGCCAGAGGTACCTTCTACCTTCCCAATGATGGTCAGCTGGCCCAAGCACTGGCCACCCCTGACTATGGTGACCCCAGGGCCCTGCCCTGTCTGTCAGCCTGTCCCAGAAGAAGCTGTTGACTCAGGCCCCAGCTTCACCCTGGTCACTCGCTACGTCTTCCCTCCACCTGGACATTGGGGGCCTCAGCAAAGTGGGGTGGCACTCCCCCTGCAGGGAGGTGCCCACTCCTGTCTACGTACACCAAGTACAGACCATTCAGTTATTTTTCTCTCCTGAACGGACCACAATTCTCTGCTTCCAGCATTGTGGGTAT